TTTATTTATCATAAATATGATATCCCATAATTCACTATATCGGCAATATATCATATAAAGGATTTTCATTTAATAGCTATTACAATATTATCTCATGATTAATATAATCGCTAAATAACATTATCATATTGGCTTATTAATCATTGAGCAACATTATTATATCATTTAAACCGATATTATAATTTATTAATAATATTCCAAATTCATTAATATTTATCCTTTATATTGGTACAATATCATATAAAATGGATAAAATTTTTTCACAAATTAGCCTTCACTATATTTGCTAATGATTTATTTAATTATCAAATTATCATTAAAAAATCTTGTTTATATCGGCCTTATATCTTCTACATGATAAACAAATCATCTTAACGATATGCGAATGTTAATTTCCGTATATGCATCATAATTTACCCTAATCTTCCGCATATCGGCTTTTTTTATACACTATCATATCGGTTCATAGCCATCACTATATCGTCCTGCTATTACCTAGGCCGATTATTTGAAGATACAAGGAAGATATTTTTGATTTCAACCTGTGATATTTGGGGGAATGTATTTAGAAAAAATGTATTTAGAAAGATCTAACTATATAGTATATATTAGGTAAATAGGAATCATTAAAAGTTCAAAAAAAATTTTATTACTATATATACAGTACTATGAATTAGAAAGTAAAAATATATTAGCAAATTTACAAAATTAGTTCTGAATTAATTTTAAATTGTATCTTCAAAATTATCTACAAAATAAAACTAAAATTTTGTAGCAAACAAATATACATATATATAATTTAGATACAATAATACTGTTATTGTATTTATTTACTTCTCAAATTATCTATATATATATATAAACTAAAATTTTTTAATAGTAGTAAGAAAGTAAATATTTAGCACTATTTCTTATAGCACATGTAGTAATATATAGTATTTGTATTTTTAAATTTAGCAAGTCAAAAATATATAAAATAATTGTATATATTGTATATAGTACAGTAATATTTGATATATATTTAGTGTACAGTTATTTTTACATGGATTAGTTTAATAAAATAAGTATTTACAAAGTGCAATTATGTTTTGATATAAGCAATCAATCAAAATTTAGAATTTGTGTATACACACACAAACATTAAAGTTACTATACTTCAACTATAATATTCTTTAGACAATTATTAAAGAATCTAAATAAATATACAGTATAGATAGATATACTGTATATTACTTTAGTAGATATATTTTTTTAAATTTTTTTTTTTTAAACTTCGACGATTTTGTCATTAACTTTTATTACTTATTTTAACCGAACATTACATATATTACATATATTTTAACTCAGCTACTCTATATGGTGCCCAGATGCAATTGTCTGCACCATCTCACATATGAGATGAATATCCTCAGGTACCTCTATCAAGAAGCATCCTAAGTTCTGATTTAACTCAGAACCTTAATGTTTTTACTAATTCATATATACTCTGCTATATATACTACTGTACAATATCTATAAGTTATAATCTACCCCTCATCACTTATTACATTACTCCTAATTTATTTCTTGTATAACTTCCAAATTGGTATCCTAGAAGTGGACACTCTTCTTGCTTCTAGTTTGGTGTCTCTCGAGATATTACTTCAGATCCTAATTTATATCTCAAGCCAGGTGCTGCCACCGTCTGAAAACCCATATCTTAAGCCATCTGCTACTGCCATTAGAAGAGCTGTTTGCATAGTTCCAGGTATTTATATTGTACACCACCAAATTAGGCTACTGCTTCTTTTATAGTACTCTCTATCAGTATGGTATTACAGAAGTCTAGATCCTTAGGACAGGAGTTAAATACCTTATTTAATTACTGTTACAAGCCAGTAACCCGGAACCCACACTTTTGCCATGTTTCATCATGCTTCTATGACTCCCATGTAGGTTGTGCAACATATTACTCACTGGCTGACTTTATTTTCATACCACCGGAGCACTTGCTTCCATGCTTTTCAAGGTTTCTTTTAACCAGCTTTTTTTGTTTCCTTGTGCCAGAGATGTTCTATATTTGGTAAAGCCATTCTCTTACTACAGCCTCTTACTATGTTTACCACTTCTCTCACCATTTCTGGATATATTGTATTCAGCCGTCCTCCCAATTAAGATCCCAATGCTGCCTTAGGGTTGTTGGTACTACCTTGCCAATCATAAATTCACATGCATAGCCTTCTGCAGTATTACCTTCTGTAACCCATGTTATACACAGTGCCCAATCTTCTCCATGGCTCGGGACTCCTTCCAAGAATTCTTTATCAGCCAAATATGTATTTCACATGGTCTTACCACCACAGGGTTTCACATTCAAAAGCCCCCAAAGGTTACAGAGATAATTAATTAAATTAATTACCACCAGCTATAATTGAACTATTAACCTCATCTGTAGAGAGTTAAATGCCTAGACCACTAGGCTATGGGACCCTAACCTTTTAGTAGATTTATTTTAAAAATAGTTAAATACTTTAAAGTAGAATACTAAATCTAATTGGTAAATACAAAACACACTTAAGTATGCTAAGCAATACCAGAATTAGGAGTCTTTATTGGCTTGAAAATAAATTTATCGCAGTTTTCAAAATTGCAAAAAAACTTTTTTTAATAAATACTTAAATACTCGAATACTTGATTACCTTAACACTTTGTAATTGTTTATCAAACAATAGTTATATGGATTAAATTAGTACTCATACTATAAAGTACTAATCTAATCTGCATAACTATTGTTTGATAAACAATTACAAAGTATTAAGGTAATCAAGTATTTGAGTATTTAAGTATTCATTAAAAAAAAGGTTTTTTTGCAATTTTTAACTATTTCGAAAACTACAATAATTAAAAACTTTGAATAAATAATTTTATAGTTAAGTTATAAGTATGACAAATAGTATAAAATTTTTGTACAGTGCTATATATTTTTGATATCCAAGACTCTTTTTGAAATATTCAATATTTAAGTTCAAAAATATTCAAACATATTTATATTAAATTTTAGTTCAAATTACTAGCAGTAATTATTATCTTCTCTATATATTTTTAGAGTTAGGATATGAGTATTAAGAATTATTTTTTTTATATAATATAATATAGAGCTAATATAAGATTTCAATTTTAGTTTTTGTAAAATTTTTAGAAGTTCTGAACGTTTTTACTTAGAATACCCAATCCAGTTTACTTAGTATGTTTTTAAGATAAAAGCACTCCAGTAATGATTACTACTAGTTATAGTTAACTAAAATACATTTATATTTATATAAATTAAAATAAAATTTTTAAAAACATAAAACTATATATAAAATTAGGTGTTAAATATTTTTTTTCAAAAAATTAAATTAAATATTATAGTAAAATTTTGAGTTATTAATATATTATTTTTTGTATAACACATTCAAAACTTTGTCTAAACATGTTCAATAACAATACTGCCTTTGGGCAAACTACTTAAATTAAATACCAAAAGTATATGTGTGGCTAGTTGTACTCTTATTGTAACTGAAATTAAACCTTCTAATAAAACCTGTCATCAAACCAAAGAGATTATTTTAATATCAAAAAAAAAGTTTGAATTGCCTATAAGCTAAAAATAAATAAATTTAAAAAAAAATTTAAATTAAAAAATTTTTTGGTAAACATTTTAAACCTATAGTTCTTAATACAATATTGTAGTTATATAAAAATAACTTTTTTTTTAGTATAAAAGTAACCTTTTTGGCTATATCTTTTTATTATTAATATACTAAACGAAAATTCTTCTAACGCAACTCTAAAATTACTCACGTGCAAAGCATAGGGTACAACTAGTTATTAAAATACGAACAGCTTAATACTGTAATACAAGAAGACTTTAAGCGATTTAACATACAATTGAATGACAAACTATAAGAAGTTATGTCCAATCACGAGAAAGTTATCTATCCGACATTATTAAACACGTCATCACCCAACTTCTCTTTAACAAGTTTTTCTGAAAAATCCCATAATTGTTTTGCCAATTCTTCATTTTTAGCTTGAGCAGTAGGTTTTCCTAATTTACCATATGGTACAAAATATTTTGCGTGAAGATTTTTTTCTTCGATTTCAGGACTTGTAGCACAATAAAGTTGTGTTAACGCGCCCTCTTCAGGCGTTAACATAAATGATGTTCCTATGTAGAGGAATGGTTTTATCCAAGAACCCCAAGAAGAAACGAAACCATTCCATAACTCTGTCTTTATGACTCCTTATTAATTTTTACGAAACAGTTATTAACATAAAAAAAATAATTCAGGATAATTTGTTATATCAATCTGAATAATATTTTTTGTTCACCTGGATGGAGACTATTGCAATAAACGTTTGTTCCTGAAAGTCTTTTATCAAGTTCAATGGTGAATAAAATATTTGCGAGTTTCGATTGACCATATCTTTGAAAAGCACTGTGAGCTTTCGGATCATTCAACTTGTCAAATTCTATTCCCGCTGGTGGAGCTTTCTCATGAGCAACACTATAACATAAAAAAAAAAAAGATAAATTTCATTTTAACTATCTTGATATGGAAAATTATTTCTAACCTGCTAATATTGACAATACGTGACGGTGCTGAGGCTTTTATAGTTGGTAGTAATAAGATCGTGAAGAGCTATATTTGAAATTATAAAATAACGTAATAATAAAATCTTTTAATAGCAATTTAACCATGATCTTATACTTACAAAATGGCCAAGATGATTAACGCCAAACTGGTCTTGAATACCATCTTGAGTTGTTTCAAATGCACTTTTTTATATCGATATGGATTTAAAACTAGAATGATACTCATACTACGTATATATGATTATTAACTGTACATAAACTTACGTTGCCATAATACCCGCATTATTAATTCTAAATGAATGGATTGGATATTTTTTTTTTAATAAAAAAAAAATAAAATTTGACAATTACCCATATTGAACATTTTTATCTTTTTTAAATACTCACAAAATATGTAATGGTAAATTTCTAGCCAAAAATGTTTCAGCAGCGCATTTAACGGAATTTAAACTTTTTAGATCCAATTGTAAAAATTCGACAGCATCTTTATTTGTTTCTTTTTTTATTAATTCTATTGCTGCTTCACCTTTTTCTTTACTACGGCTTGCAATGAACACATGAGCATTTTTACGGACCAATTCTCTGACAGTTATGAATCCCAAACCATTATTTCCTCCCGTTACTATTGCAACCTGAATTATAAATAATTTACGATAAATTAAACGTGAAATATTTTTATTAACTTTAAATATTAAAACACTTAAATTACTTTGCCGGAAAGATCCGGAAAGATCCGGAATATCGTCAAAAACAAATCGCTTTTTGTTAAACATTTTCATCGGTAGGAATTTAGGAACACGTGTGATGGAATTTAGATGAAAAAAATATATTTTGATATATTTGATTTGAGTGAATTTGAATAGGAGAGACTGTGAACGCACTGCTTTTATATCATTTGAATTCTTTCCAAGCTAGCGTTACCTTTGTGTCATCCTCATAAATCATTACTAGATACCGATACTGCCGTAATTCAAAAAAGGCGATATTAAATTGCGGCATAGCGATGGGCTTTCGAATACCGGATTAATCACAGCATACCAGATATAGTATCGGTATCATTTCATATTAATTACGGCAGATTACAAGGTTATGTGGCTTAACGTTATTAATTTATGTCCAATTGCTCTTTTGCTAATTGGACGCATTGATATGGGTTTATATGTCAATTCACGCAATTTTTTATATGTCCATTTTGTCCAATTGCCGTTAATTATCGAGTAAAGCCAAAAAGATACCTCAACCATGTGATAACTAGTATTTATGCAACTTGCATCATAACTTTCGCATTAGTACTGGTAAAATTTTTGTGTAATTACTTCAAAGCATTGAATTACAATAGATGACAAAGTAGTGGCAGAAAAAATTCGCGATCAGGTGATAGCTACTTCCGAACCTCCAAAACTTTATACAAGATATATATACTACATAATATCTGATATTCGGTTGTTGAAAAAATGCATAAATTTTGTATAAAGTTTCGGGCTGCACCGGAAGCATCGGCGATCACCTGATCGCGAATTTTTTCTGTCACCACTTTGCCATCTAATTACAATCGAAGTGAGTTAGTCAGTCAAATGATAATCATTAGTTTAGATCTATAAAATATATCAAATATATAAGTATAATATAAATTATAATTATAATGGTGTCGTAACATAGAATGTTCTCAGCTAACCCGGTTACGAGCATCACATGACCAACTTAATCGGTAGTTGCGTAGTTGATATTAATAAATGTGGTTTTTTTTCGAAGGTCAAATTTAAAATACATGAGCAAATATTACCAATTACTTACAATTTTAAATAAATCATTGGTATTTGAATCAGATTATGTATTTGTATTAAAATAATGTGAAAATGTTTATTGCATAATAGAAAGATATGAGGAATCATAGGAACAAATGTTTTAAAACACGATCTTAAAAATTATGTTTATTCTGTTAAAAAATGGGGTAATATATTATGATGTTGCCAACTGAAAATGGCGAGTTGGTCACTAATCAAATTGAGACCTTGTATAACCTATGTTAGGCTTAGTTGAAATGGAGGTGTTTAGATTTGGGTAAGGGTGATTTTGGACATAGGTTTATCTTCTTGAAACTATATTGGAACTTGTTTATGACACTCTAACATCTATATTGTCAATCTACAATAATTCTAACCAAACCACAGCTTGAGTTCTTTTACTTGAGCTTGAAATCGGATCGAAATAACTACAGATTTCACAGTCCATTGGGAAAACTGAAAAACAACCACAACTAGTTCACAGTATGTTGGAATAGTTGGAAAACCATGGCAGTCAGTCCATCAAAAATCAACTAGAAAAACAAAGTCACAGAAGCAAGGTAATTAATAAGCAAAGATCTTTTACTATACACTTAGTGATTGATCAGGGTAAAGGTATTTAGTATAGCAGGTTATTTACTTAGATACTTAAGAGTTGTATTGGTCAATTGGGTAGTTTTTTTTATTGGAGAACAATAATTGTAAACAAATAGAACTTATTGTTTTTAGGGCCTTCATGGCCTTTATTTATAATTAAAGTTTCTGACATTACAACCAATTCAATAAATACAGAAAAATCATTAAAATGAATAAATTTGTTAAATTCAATAAATTTGTTAAATTCGATAAATTCAGTAAATTCATTAAATTTATTAAATTTATTATTTTGCACTTGACCTTGTGATCATAGGTTATATGTATTTTAGTTTCTAATTCATTACCATTTTCAAAATATGTAATTTTTTTATCTGAATCCTCAAGATTATTAATAATTTGATTTAAAAGACATTTATTATATTGTATTTCGATTCTTTTTTGCAAATTTTTAATTGTTATACTAATATCATTATTTAAAGTAATATTATGAAAATCTCTAAATATTAATGATTTAATTAATTTTTTTTTAATAATATTAATTAAATTTGGAGTGAGTATTTTTGATTTATCATTTATAATTTTTAAAAGAACCTCAAGATTGAAAATAATATTTGTTTCAAATAATTTTGATTTTAAAAATTGTCGTTTATTTTGTAAATTAATTTTGTTATTCTCATTATTTAATTTTTTTTTTATTATGGTATCGATTGGTCCATTATCCATTAAAGATGGTAGAAAAATCGTATTATCAATTTCATATTCTATTTTTGATCGTAATCCTGTTTCATCATCTATTAAATTGTATTTATTTTTTGTAATATTTAAATATTTATTAACTAGATTATTATATATTTTTTTAAACATATTTGATGTAAATGTTCTATATGTTTTTCTATATATTTCAAATAATTTTCCATTTTCTAATTCGGTATAGTTTTTACAAATTTGAATTTCTTTTAAGTAATTTTTATAAAATTCATAATCTTTAAATTTTTGTTCTAAATATTTATTTAGTTTATTTTGATAATATTATTTTTAATTTTTCAATTTCATTTTTATAATATTCTTTAGTTTTTTTTTCAAATTTTTCTTTGTTAATTATTTCATGTTTCAATTTAAAATATTCTTTTATATTATTATTTTTATTTATCATATAAAATTCTATTTCTTCACCTTTTAATTTTAATTTTCTTTTATTTTGTAAATCTAATTCCAAATTTTTATCATTTATTTTAGAAATTGCTCGATCATATTTTGCTCCATCTTCAAATTGTTTTAGATCTCTTTCTTTTTTCATTTGATCTAAAATACTTTGATATTTTAATACTAAAAAATAACGTTCTTCTCTTATTTTATTATACTTTTTTTTTAAAAGATCAGTGAACACATCACATTCTGAAATTTCTTTTACAAATTTTGATTCTTCATTATCTTCTAATTCATAAATATTTTTACAATTATTTATTTCTTATATGAAATAATTTTCTTTAATTTTTCTTAAGACTTTAAGCTCTTCTATTTTTTCAAGTCTTAAATTTTTAATTTCATTTTTCAATATTTTATTATTTAATTTGGTATTTTTAATTAGATTAAATATTTCTCTATTTGTTTCCAAATCTTCATAAATTTTAGCTTGAAGAATTTTTTCCTTCAACATAAAAAAGATTTTAAGAAGTTCAATTCGTTTTTTTTGTAATACGTGTAATTCATTATACATATGATTTTCAAGATTTGATTTTTTATTTTCGATATCTTTATTATATTTCTTCATTAATTTATCAATATCCATTTCATTTTCTATTTTTGTTTTTAAAGTTTTGTAAAATTCTATATCTATTTCTTTTTTTGGAACAATCAAATTAAATTTTGAATCTAAACCTTTTTTTACTAACTCAGCTATGAAATTTAAATTATGAATTAAATAATTTTTTTCATAAATAATGTGATTTTTTACATGCTATTTGTTAAAGGAACAATCAAAAAATGATACTGTATTATCATTATTATCAATAGAAATACAAGAAAAGTCTGTTTTTGTAAAAGGAATTAATAATAAAAATAATAATAAAATTAGTTTTTTCATTTTTGTTTATTTATTTAAATGTAGCCAATTTCATGATATTCAAATTCTTCGGTGTAATTTATATGTAGATATCTAATAAGACAATGTTTATATACATAAAAAGGATCATGTCTAATATATAAAATTTCAAATAATTCTAAACTAAAGAAATTACATTTTTCACATATTTCATAATATTTTTCAAATTGATATTTTGGTATATTTTTTAAATATTTAAGATATTTGTTATTAATTAATAAATAATTTATATAATCTTTTTTTTTAGTTTGTATCAAACCTTTTTCTTTGTAATTGATTTCTATAATACATTCTTCTTTATTTTCACCATTTTTATTTTTTTTTTCTTTCAACATTAACTATTAGATTATTCACAAAATAATACCAACTAACATATTCTTTGAATAAATCATATTCGGAATTTTTAAATTTAATTTTTTTAATTTTTATTTTTTTGTAAAAAAATTTTTTAATGACACTCCAAACATCATTTATTATTATTTCTTTTTTCTTAAGTGGTATTTCTTCAATTATCAATTCTCCTTTCTCATTTCTTTTTGTAGAAGCAAAGTTCCAAATTTTATCAATGAAAGTATTTTCAATTTTTATTTCTACCTTTTTTTGTTTATTTTAGATTTAAAGAGTTTAATCTATTTTCTAACATTATTAATTGAATATTTTTTTGATTTTCTTTATCAATAGTTGGAGGTTGAGGTGTTTCGTTATTATGCCAGTAAACTAAATCTTCTTCTTTTATTAATCCAGCATCTTTTTTTGGATCAGGTATTATGTTAAATATAGGATATTTTCCACTTGGATCTTCAGTTGTTCTGATAATTACAACCTCAACTGGAAGATTCTGTTTTTTTGGTAATGCGATTGCTAATCTTAAAAAGTTTTGGTATTAGAAATTATCTGCAGTTGGTGTTAATTTATAATTATTTTTAGCTAAATATTCTATTGGGTTTTCACTTGCTAGAGCAATTATTCTATTAATTAAGTGATAAATAACATCTTTTGGTGGTTTTGTTTCTTGTAATCTTAATGTTAATAAGAAAGCGTATCCAGGTAATAAATGACCAACTCTATTAAATAATTTTTTTTTTTTTTTTAATATTAAGGTAACCACTTAGGCCCTTAGCACTTTATTAGTATAAGCGGTAGGCCAATGTTAATTTTAGCATCGGCTTTACATATTATATCAGTATCACGAGAGTATAACTAGTTACACATACAACTTTTGATTGCCTATTTAAGTAGTCCGCCCGAAGCGTTAGTGCTATGCTAGGGGTTCTACACTAGCT